CCCTTAATTAATTATTAATAACGTTATTATATTTTTAAATCTCGGCGAAAATCTCTATTAGATAAAGAAAGACGTTAATTACTATTCTTTTATCTTCTTATTTATTTATACTTTTAATTATAATAACTATTCTTTATTTAATATTTTTTAATTAATTTAAATAGAGATTTACGCGAAGATATTAAAGTAATTAGAAATCTTAAAAGCTTTTTATATTTACTATTTAAAGAATTATTAAAGAAGTATTAATCTATAAAATAAAGATAAAAACTTCTTATTTTTTAATCTTAATAATTATTTAGAAATTTATTATAAAGTATTATTAGCCGTAATTTTAAAAATAAATTAAACTATAAATTACTCTAGAGAAGTTATTAATATTACTTTAAGAATCTCTTTTAATTATATTAATCTTTAAAATTTTTAATAAATTATTTTTAAAAATATAGATAAAGTATTCTAATATATCTAATATAATTTAAAAAAATTATTAAATATCGATTAAAGTTATAATTAGAGTAATTTCTTATAATATTTCTTATTAATCTTAAATTTAATTATATTAGCGTTTTAAGCGTTAAAAAACCTAGATTACTTATTTAATATAATCTTTATTATTTTAAAAGAGTTTAAAATTTTAATAATCGACGTAAAGAATAAAAATATTTTAATTATTTATCGAGATCTCGATAGATTAATAAATCGCTAGATTTTTAATAATTTAAATAATAAAGAAAAGTTTAAGAATACTATATTATAGCTTTAAACTAATTACGTCGAGAAGCTAAAGTAATTTATTATTAATAGATTTTCTATTTATATTATTATTAATATTATTAATAATATTACTAAAAAGAAATTTCTTCGCTATTATAAAATCTTTATAATTCTATCTAATTTTTAGAAATTTTATATAATAAAATTATATATCGAAAATAGATTTAAATTTTAAAAGTTTAACTTTAATTCGAAAGAATAATTAATCTAGAATTTTATATCTTATAAAATATTAATTATATAAATAAATAAAAATAGCGTTAAACGCTTTATTATATAAAATATATATTAACTATATAAAGATTTTAAAGAATATATAGAACTTATATATAAGATCTCTACTATCGCGTAAAAGAGTATAAAAAATAAAACTTACTTTAATAAATTAATAAAAAATATTAAAGAAAAAACGATATAATACTTTTATCTAAAAGACGTCTATTTAAATAATTATAAAATCTTAAAAAACTAAAATATTCTAGAAATCCTTTTATTAAATAAACGATAGAGACTCGAGAAATCGCAGCCTTTATAAATATCGGCTATGACTCCGATACTAAGCTCTCTCAGATAGGCTTTATCGAAAACTCCGTCGATTGATATCTTATTTCCGATATTATTAATTATAAACTCTTCGAATATTAGATATCTTAAAAATAAGATATTAATAAAGTCGAGAAGAATAGAGATTAAATTATTTAAATAAGTCGCTAGCTTATTTATTATTATCGCCTTTATTAATTATAAAATTTAGACTTTAATAATCTTTAATTTATATTAGAATAACGTAATAATAATTTTAATAAATAAATTCTTAATATTAAAGATAGTAATTATTATAATAGATAGAGAGTAGATCGAATAGAATATTAATATCATTCTATAAAAAAGTAATAACGCTATTAAGACTCTTACCGCGGAGTTCTCTAATCTAAAATTACTAATAACTTAATATAAGGGTTAAGATTTTAAAATCTTCTTAGCACTCGGCGAATAAATAAACCGAGAGAATTATATCTAAACCGACGAAATTCCTAGCACTATTATCGAATATCTATCTTAAACTCATTAACACTTTTCATTTCCTTTAGCGCTTGAGACGAGCTTTTCTCTAAGAGGGAAAGATATTATAGCTATAATTATATCTGTTAATATTATAATTTAATATAACTTAATATAGTTTAGCGCTTAGTATAGCTTAGCACTCGATACTTTAATTATAGCTTTTCTTAGAAGAATTATTATAACTTTTACTATTAAAATCTATACTTATACTTATAATATAATAATAATAGCGTAAAATAGAGCTTATAAAAGTCATTTCTAAGAAAGTTAAAGATTATATCCGAAAATAGTATTCTAGCTCTTTCTACTATAAATCTATAAAAATCGAAATTAAGACTTTCTAGAATTTTTAAAAAATCTTTTTTAACTTAACTTTTCTAATTTACTTCGATTTTAATCACCGACTTTATATCGATTTAAATATTTTTAAAAAATAGAATTTCGCTATTATAATCTAAAATATAGCTAAAAATCTAAGAAATTAAGAATTCCTTTTATCAATAGATATATAGTTAATTATATTTTTTAATAAGATACTAAATTAGACTAAATAGAATTATTAATTTATAAAATTAAAAGTTATTAATATAGTATAGATAATTAAGAAAGTATATTATATAATTAAATTTATTAGAAAAATATTAATAGTAGTTTTTATAGATTACTTAGCTGCGGTATTAATTTTATATTAGATTAATCTTATTACTTTAAGTATTAATAAACTAAATCTACGCTTAATACATATCTTCTAATATCTTTTAATATTTAATCTTTTCGTTTATTATAAGATCGATAAGATGAATATTATATCTAATACTCTATTATATCTATAAGAATTTACTTTTATAGTAAAGAACGATCTTAGAGTATTAGAAGTCTTATATAAATAAGTAATAAAAGTTAAGATCGCCGTATTATTTTTCTTATATTTAATTTTTTAAGAATTATTAATTAGCTACTATATTATCTTAATAGAAATATCTATTAACTTTAAAATATGATTTTTTAAAGAATACTTTGAAGATAATTAATAGAGTAAGATTATTAAGATAGTAGACTTTTATTATTATTACCTCGAGGCCGTTAATTCTTATTTATTATTTAAAAGATCTTTAAAATAGTCTTTTCTATTAACGCTATTAATTTATAGTAGCTATATTAATTTATAAAAAGATCTTAAATTTATTACGAAATACTAAGTTAATATATCTAAGAATATTACTTTATATACGCCTAGATATACTTTTTATAAGATCGATATCTACTATATAGTAGTTATTGCCGAAGCTTTAAATTAAAGAGAGAGATAATATTATAATTCTAATAATCTTATTTATATTATAACTCAATTAGACTTAATATATTAAAATCTTTTAATCTTTCTATCTTATTATAAAGCTTATACTTATAATAATTTTATATAAATAGTATTCTCTTTATACTATAATATAGAGTTATTATATATATTATTAAGTTTCTAATATAAAGATAAAGATAAATACTAATTATAATATAATAATTATTAAGTAAAGTTTAAACTTATAAATCTATAGAAATATAAGATAAAATACTTAGTTATATTAACTATAGAGTTATTATAAAGAAAAGAGTAACTTAATATAAACGCGTTAAGACGTATTACGTAATCTTAAAAGTTACGTAATTCGAATTTTAATAAAATAACTTTAATAAGTTAATTTTAAATATATAAATTAATAAATAAATAAATGAAATTAAGTTACTTTATATTAATTAATTATATTAATACGAGTAAAGGTCTATAAATTAAATTTATATTTTTTTTTAAATTAAAGCTATCGAGTAAATAGATAGGCGATCTTTAAACTTTAGTAAGCGAACTTTAATGAGCGATATTTGAGTTCCTTACGCTTTAATAATTATAAGACTAAATTGAAAAATTTATTTTTTATCTAAAAGTTCATATTTCGTTCTATAATTTAAAAAAAGACTCTTAAAATTTTAATAGAAAATAAAAAAGTTATTCTATATATTAATAACGTATATCTACTTTTTAATAATTAACGTATATCTATTTATGGACATCAAGAGTGATTGAAGCCATCCTCAATCCAAGAGCCTTCTAGAGGTTCTCTGCAGGACCTGGCCGGAGGGCAAAGGGACTCTGTTGACTCCATGCAAAAAGGCATTTGCACTGTAACGTTCTGCTCTTCCATATGTATTTCCGAACCCTCTCGATGCTTTATAACAGAAAGCTGAACCAGAAGGCTGAATCACAAGTGTGGTATCCCTCTCCGGGGTTAATAGTGCTTGGGGCATACCCCGTCCAAGAAGCTTCTATTGGTCCATTTGAGACTTTAACAGGGGATAATAGAATCGTCTGTTGTCAACAAAATTTGTCGATGAATCTCTTATTGCAACCTATGTAACGTGCTATTTGACTACGGAAAAAATTCTTCCACGTCAGATAACTAGCCCAATATTCATACGGACTAGTACGATTCCCGTGCCGGCGTCGCTTTCTTTGGACGCACACCCGCGCGTACTTTGGCTGCATCGGAAGTATGAATGCATAGAAGGATGGTTCGATGACGTGCAAGTCGTGCTTTCAAACATCAAACTCCCGGTATTCTCTGAAATCAGCCTTCGATGCATGTTTTGAATTATTTCCTGGAGAGCTGACCGTGGTACCAGGACTCGGGCGCTTCCCATCGTTATACCAATAGTACCTAGGTGATTTGCTCGAGTACGCCTCCGGTTTCGGTTCAAACTTGTCTGTGCCCTAGGAAAAAAAGGCATGCTGGGTCACTCCCATGCAGTGTCGATCTTCCCGTCATGATGAAATGTTGAGTTTGATGGAGGATGAAGGATTGATTAGCTATGGAGTGGTATGTAGGCTACTTATATACCATGTGAAGCCTACGCTAATTTGCCACCTGATGGCCACCATGAGGGGTAGCTACAACACACTATGGTGCTGCAGCAGATTCCAACATGAAAGCCTATACTGAAGCCTGAAGCTGCTTGTATAAGTGAAATTGAATGGCTTACGGTACAAAAGCAGGTTGACGACATTCAGAATTGTCAAACATGAATCTGAGAGGCGATGGATCCAACGCGCCGAACACGAGCTATCTATAATACACAACGACAAGACGTGCATCAGCCCTTCATCCCATTCAAGTTTCAACTACGGACATCATCATCGTGACTCCAAAGGCCAGCGCAGATCCAAGGAGCATGCCCGAAGCAATAGACGACATCTGATCAGACTTCGGTGCATTGAGCTCCTGAACACGCTCCTTCCGGTCATTGTCCTGGGCCTCCAACTCCCTCTCACGAGTCTCTAGGGCTTCTTTCGCCCGCTTGATCTGGCCCATCTCCTCACATGCGGCATCGTAGTCGGCAGATAGACTCCTGAGAACCACGTGAGATGCTGGACTTGACCCTGTCTTCATCCTTGGCGGTCCGGTAGTTCTTGTATCTGGCTTAGTGTGGGCCATGGAATTTTCCCGATGCCGCACAGTCCTAGGCGTCTCATTCATCTCAGGTCCCTGGCTGGGGACCTGTGCTACGAGATTGGCTGATGGGAACATTTCTGCCTGTTCCATGGGCGGATCGGCTTTTTCCCCGCTGCAGCTTGGAGTTTCGGAGTAAAGGCCATCAACTGTCTCAGTATATGTCTCGTCTGGTAAGATCCCCGCTTTGACGGCCTCACGTGGACTTTCTCGAGCTCTGTCCATCTCGATCGACGCTTTTTGCCTCTTCAACTTTCCCTCGAGCACCATTGCGCGCTGTCTGACGTGCTCCAACTCTTTCCTGTCCAACCCCTCAACCTTCTCCGCCAGCTCCTTTCTCTTGTTTCGTAGAATGTCGTGGTGCACGTTGAACTCACCATCACACTTTCCGCAAGGGTGGAATACCATGAATGTCTCTGTGATCTGTTTCAGCTCCTCTTCCTCTTTCCGCAAACCCTCTCTATCAGTAAAGATCTTGCCGTCCGGAAGTTGAGCCGTCAAATCCTGAGCGCCACGTTTCCGGCCTTTCCCGTAGATACATATAGCGAGAATACTTATCACCCCCGCTCGCAGCAAAAAGTCGAAGAAACCGTGAAAATGGTCGGAGGAGGGATTATCCTTATTCGAGCTTGATTGGTCAGAAGAAGCGAATTCTGCGGAATTCTGTGACGGCGTATTTGGGCTGGTAGCGTCTGCTTTGGTCGCGCGCTCATTAGAACTGCCCGAAATAGTGGCCGTTTTTCCGTCGAGGATGATCTGGATATTGTTCGGCATTGGGGAGGAAGACCACACAAGCGCGCTAAATTTGTCGCCAGCAATCACCCGGGGGCGTTGTGTGAAGTTTTCGGGATCTTTACCCGATACTTCAGAGTGCAATCTTCGAATTCCGCGAAGCAGGATCTGGGGCAACGGGGGAGTAGTCTTGGCGGCCATCAATAGCTGTGCGTTGCAATGGAAATGACGTGGACGCCCTAGACTTTGAGCAGAGCCGTTCTGTTGATTCCATGAATGCGGTGGGTTTGAAAGTCCGGAAAGAGCAGTCCAGGTACTTCGGAAGGATGTTACGCGCTGGCAGCCGGACCACAGAGTCAGCCCAAGCTTAAGGGGCAGGCTATGGGCGTAGCCTGATGCCATCGGGAGGCACTGGACACTGCTTGTAATGAGCGCCATTCAGGATTTTGTGATATTAACAAAAGTGGCTCTAGTGGTGGTGGTGGTGTTGGTAGATGGGAAGAAAAAGTGGCCAAAATCGAAAGAAGGAGGGGGAATGATCCCTGAGGCCAAATGTCTCACTGTGAGTCAACCTTCATGCAAGATCCGGGTTGGTGTCCCTACATTCTCCGAAAGATACACCGCTCCTGGGAGTACCAAGAGTCTATAGTACGGAAAACCTGGTACTCGGATGACATCCCTCGATGGCAGTCTGCACCGGACGAATCTGGGTATTAAGGAGTTTTGGCAGGTAGTACGCGTTGGGTACCACAGCTGAAACCCTCACTGCCAGTATTGATCTGGCTGCACACTTTTCGTTGCACAGTTTCCAATGATCCTTCTCCTCACAACATCTCTAAACTTTTCTATCGCAATTGAGTGTTTCATTGGTGCGTGTAGCAGCTGATCTCAACAGATCCTTCAAAGAGAGCGACAGTGACCGCCTACTCTGCATGAACGTCGTTTCAGACGCCCTCATCGGCGCAGCACGCTTAGAAGTCGATGTGGCCGGCCGTGTAACACATCCGTCAGTATAGGCCATACAGATAGGAACGAGGTTATCTCAGAAGCAGTGAACAGCCCGCACGTCAAAGTCTATGACCCGACAGCGACTGGAGGGAGACGAATCCCCAGCCCCAAGCTTCGTGCGGCTCTCAATTTTGGCATGAGACGCCGTGAAAGGGCTGCGCCTGCCGTCTATGAATTGGCCACCAGATGAGCGGTTCCCGTTGATGACAACGCTTCCTATACAAAAGGCCATGCTCCGAAATGTTGGGAGGTCCCCGCTCAACCGCTCAACACTCTCTTGTAGGTCAGTCCTCGCTACAGAAGCGGCAAAGCTTTCATCCCGGGCTCGCTGTCTTGGCCCGCCTTCAAACATGGACACAGCGCCTAATGCGATATTTGCTTGTTGTTTTATCGACGCACGAAGCATCCGCGCTTTCTCATATACTGAAATCGCAGAGCAGAGCAAAGCTACCCCTTCGTTTGACTTTCGGAGACATATTCTAGGGCAGGCCTGATCCAATGAAGAGTAGGGTTCAGAATGTTCCCACGGAAAATCCCGCGACGCTGTCGCTGCATAGAGCTTCCCGTGATGTCTTCCAGTCGATGGAACAGGTCTCCGAGGGCTTCGATCCCGATCAAGATGTACTTGATGGCTGGCTCACCGTCAGATAGACATTATCGCAAAGCGATACTGCGACATCTGCAATGATAAGTCGATTGTACCATGATGAGTGGACCGTCATTTGAAACTTGTTTATCCACTACGGAGACCAATAAGTCTCGTCACTATCAACCCTCCTCGCCGCATAGACCCTCGCAATCGGCATCTTCTGACTAGCCTCATCGCTGTCAACCCTTCTGGCGGCATACATGCGCGCGATCGGCATCTTCTGGCTATCGAACGACGTCGTAGTCCCCGCCCATGGTTTCCTCCGCTGCAATTCCAACCCCGGAAACACATCTTCTCTCTTTTCCAACTTCGTCGTGCCCCTCGCGCCGGAGATTTCGAATTTCAGAACGAGTCTGCAAACGAGGATGGAGACCATGTATCGAACAGCTACGATAGAGGCGTCTAGGAGGCTGATGAACAATAGCCCTGCAAATACCACGATGCCGAAGATGACGTGTATAGAGCCCATCACTGTAGCGAGCCAGTTCAACGTCACGGTCAAGACTTCCGGTGACGTATCTTGCAGCGTCTCGTCTTCCTGGTTAGCGCAAAGGATGAACTCCGTTCGCGTCCACGTAAGGAATCGAGTCGCTAACGAGTCGCGCCGTCCCAAGCTATCTGTCTGATGCTCCAACTTGACGCGCCGCATGACCCCCGAGTGATTGAACGTCCATGCGGCAAGTAGATGAATGATACAGGGCAGAAGCGCCCATACGACAGGCATAAAAGGAAGGCATTTCCAAGCCAACACGGTCCGAAGTTGGAGCTCGTATGAGACCCAGAGAATATTCACAATCGCAAGAGAAACGATCAGATACTCCGCCCCGCTAAGCAGGAGGGCAAGCCGCTTGCTAGTGAAGCGCGGGATCGTAAATTCCCCCCTGATAGGCGTCAACAGCTCCAGCGGATCCGCATAGGCCATTGGCCGGATGATGAAGATTGCCGGAACGCCCACACTCAAGAGGAAGCTCAGCAAGGGACGACGAGAGGACAGCAGCGCGATTTCGGCAATCGTGGGACCGAAGGTCGCGACGAAGATTGGCAAGAGGCCTAGCAAGATGCCGGCGTTGGTCATGTCGATTTGATCGAGCTGGACCATGTTGCTCAGGATGCAATTGATGTGGGCGTCGCATGCTAGGCGATCTTGGGTCTCGAGATAGAAGCTCAGGGACGATGCGCAGGTGTTTGCGGAGATGTTTGTGAGTTCGGGGCGGAGAAGTGGGAAGAACTCTGTGAATCGGGTGGAACCTCTCAAATGCGCTTGGACCGGAGAGACGGTGACGAGGAAGGAAATGATAGGGAGGAAGAAAAACGAATGTAACATATTTTAGATATTTATCCTGAACTCTGTTATTATTATATCCTTCTTAAAAAGAACGAATGGAATAAAACAAGTCACTCAATTTGCGAGAATTACAAGGAGCGACATGCTTATACCAGTGACTGAGTACTCATGAAAAAGAAACGGATTTAGATTTGTTTCATCTATACATTGTGGATGTTGGTGACGGCTTCCGAGCCGCAGTTGACACGGCACAGCCGCACAGCTATGGTGCAACGTAAAAGAAAGCATAATTACATGATTATGCAACCTAATGGCACGGAATACGAACGACGGGGCCAGAACATTCCTAAATACGAGTCTATGAAGCATTGTGCTATGGTGGAGTTAGGTTTCACACCGGGCTATTAGTATGTAGTAGATACTTGAATTGGCCTATGTTTGCAGGCGCTTTACGTGTTCCTTGCCATTTTTGTGAGATTCCTAGACGTCGCCTTACGGGGTTCGATGAAGTAGCTAGATCGTCGTTGAAGGGCGGAGAGAAGGGAAGATAGAGTGAGGCTCGGAGACCATGATGGAATTTAGCATAGTCAAGAATTCTTGAGAGTACTTATGACATCGGTCGACTCGTCCTATCGGAGCTTTTGCGTGAGCTTGATGTTCATTCGAATAACGAGCTATTGTTTCTCCCCCAAAGTTGTATTGCTCCTCATCGCCACTGCCTGCGATACCTCCGCTCGCAGTGTCCTTTCTCGATCTGTCGGCCATTGAGCTCAAGTGTCTCCCAACTCTCGGATGTCCGTATCATCTAAGTTGACATGCACTTTGCTGTCCAAGAATCTCGCTTTGGCAATGTTACAACTCCGCCATACTATATCTCGCGAGCGTTCAAGTCTTGAAAACGATCCCCGCAACTGCAAGGTAAGGTAGAGCGATAGGCGATGCCAAGCACGCGCTAATGCTAGTGCCTTGGCAAGTCTGTGACAGAATATGCTCTTGGAGACGAGACTTCGGACCACGGTTGAACCACAGAACAACAGGTGGAATGATTTGATGTCTCTGGCAACCAAAGACTCGACCGAGTCTCATTGGTTTTCTCAAGCACCCGAAAACTTGGTATTGCATGAAATGAACGAATGAGTTCAGCCTTGTTGTGCACTTTCTCTCAGCCTTGTCCAGAACGCCTAGTCAGTTGCGCCTTTGGAATTACAGCCGTTACCTTGCATGCATGATGCGTGTAGGGTTTCATTTATCGTTCAACTCCCCTCCCCGAGGCGTGGCTTGGCAAGCTCTTACCCACCACACCCCAGCTACGATTATGTGGATAGTATGCAATAATCGAACCGAGGTCTCATGTCTATCCAGGATAATCACAACAACTCATCTCTTATTTCTTAACATCTTGGGAGTATATGTGTTGTCATGACAATGACAGAACAGTAGGAGGGTGTGAAACATTTACGAACCATGGAACTCGTGGAAGTGATGGTTGCGATGAGACTGGGGAAAGGAGCTGAGCGGTTGACATGTTTGATGGGATCGCCGGTCGAAGGGTTAGGGGGTTAGCGTTTCAACATTCTGCAGGCGACGCAGTGGCTGCAGATTGATCGCGATGCCGCCAAGTCCAGTGCCAATGTGGTTCGACATGATTGGGATCGGAGTTCTATACGGCACCGCGATCTTAGCAGCCGCAATGAGAACAACTCTCCGGATTCCCTATAACGACGACGGTTTCTGGACGACGCTTTCTTGTTGATCGCGTGCGCAGCTTTGACTGCAGCAATACCAGTTCTCTACAAAGAAATCGTCCTATTGTACTTTATTCATGGAATAGCAAGTGGGGTGCTCAGCCTTGTGAAACTATCCCAACTACAACTATCTGGAATCATGACCGACGCTGAAGTCCACTTGTATCAAGTCCTACGTTTTACTCATGAGGCCCTCATCTGGACCGCCATTATTTTTTCCGTCAAATTCTCTTTCTTGTCCTTCTTCCGCCAAACTGTAGATCGGAATCAGAGCCTTATGCTACACTGAAAAGTCGTTGGTGTGATGAACATCGTGGCTTGGACGTTCTGTGTGTGCTTTTCTTTTATGGAGTGTCCCCGCACAGACTACATAGCCAGTAAGTGGAGCAAGCCGAAGTGTAATTTAGCTGCTTGGAGCTAAAGTTGTATGTCATTTAGTGGAGTGCACTTATGGGCTCGGGAATCACAAGGACGTCTGCTATCGCCATCACTGCTACGGCACTGGATCTGGCGACTGATATTCTGACTTCGAATACATATGGTCCCAGAAATATAAGGAGACCCTTGCCGATTGTTAGCAGTCGTTAGTATCCCTGTGCGCGTCCTGTGGCGTGTGAGAATGCAGTCTGGTCAGAAGCTAGGCATTAGTGTCTTCCTCAGCCTCAGCATCTTCATGATCATACTTGCTTGTATCAGGATCATAGGGTTCAATCTCTTCTATCATGCGTACTCGTGGCGTTTCTTTTGGCTGCAAGTTGAAGCGTCCGTGACCGTGATAATGGTTTCACTCACTGCCTTTCGCTCAGTGTTTGCCTTGCAAGGATCAGAAGCCAGGGAAGGGAAAGCTAGACCATGGTATTCCTCGGCTGTTGCAAAGCTCTGACGACACAAGGCATCATCTGGAGTTCATAAACTAGAGGACCTGCCTTCCATTCCCTCCGCTACGATGTCCGGCATGCGAACCCTCATCAGAGGCAGTCAGCTTAGCACCGGACCGGGGGCTACGAATGCGGCTATGAATCGTCCAAGCGCACGTGTGGTCCAATTCTGGTCATTCGTGATGTTTCCTGGGAGGCAGAGGGGTAGATCAGAATCGGTCGACGGAGCGATAGATATCTCAGGAACCTGAGTGTTTTGATAGTTGACGCTGTTCTCTGCGCCAGCAGCGCAGGCAGGGGTTGGACTGAAAATGTATGGGTGGCTATGAAAGCTGTTGGTATTGCTCCTTGGGTCCACATACATAAATGTCTCGCTTCGAAGATCACAACTTATCCCTTTCCCTGATGGTGCAGGACTGGTCATGAGAACTGTGCTTTAATGAGTGAGCTATGTGAGCAGGGATAAAGTGACCAGTCCGCGCACTGTCGAGACCGCCTGAAAGAACAACAAGCTTAAAAATGGTGAGATCTTATACGCTGAGATATTCTGTAAGCTTATGAGTTATACGGAGTACATGCGGTTTTACTGATCGACTTTGGCCCTGGAGTCTTCTACCTCGCAATACTCTCTTACAATTACTTACGCTGTGATAGTTCTCTAAGTACTCTGCGATACTACTCTATGGATGATTTATCTCGTGTGCCAATTCAAAGTCTTCCGAACACGCTCTTCACCCCGCGCTTTCTCTCACGAGCTTGTAACTCCGGCTCTCCGGCTACCGATGCACACATCTCCGTACAACTCAACGCAGCTGCAAAAGAAGTTTGGCGTCCTGCACGAACGTGCCATCTTTTGTGCTTCCGGGTTCCTGGGCTCACGCCAGAACAGGCGTAGGCGATGAGCTTCATCGAGCACGCAATCTTGGCTGCCGTTCGTATTCAGGCATTCCTGCATCATCGTTTCTGCAAGTGAGTGCAAAGGCCCCAAACGTCATGTTCTCACCGAACGTGCTTTCATTTCGCCTCCTGTTGTGGTTGGGCTTCGCGACCGGGCTCTGCTCTTCTATTGAACCTTCTTGTACTATACGCTGGTGCCAACATCTCGTATGTCAACGATATCCTTGGTGGTGGCTACCATGCATCTTCAGATGGAACTCAGGGCATCGACGCGTTCGATAAGCTGTTCGGGACGGGCAAGTAGGGATCTCCTTGGATCCTCCCTCCCTACCGTGGCCGATGCTACATTGGACGTTCAAGCAACGGCGCTTCGTTCTGGAATAGTGCTCAATCCAGCATGGGGTCTCGGAGGCAAGAACACTGTTCTCATGTCGGTTGCAATAGCTTCTCTCCCGTCTCCATTACGACGCTGATCTCTTGTTCAGATGCGAGGATGTGAGCTGTGATGCCAACAGATCAGATCTTGGCATCTCGGACCCTTCCTTGCCTTACTCCCGACCAAACCAGTCCCTGCTACAATACTTTTCGGACCGGAGCTGCCGTGAGCGTCCTCAACCTCAAGCACCACACCCTGCCCTCTCTAACGCGAGTCTACTTTTCAGGATGTCGTGCGAGCCCGCATATGCCATGATGATAAAGTGTTCTGGATGGGAGACTGGGCAGTATATTGGATCAAACAACCAACGATGATCAACAGATACGGAAATGGCACGTAATGGAATTCCAAGTCTAAATCGAACGCGTGGACCGGAATTGCCACCTTGAATGGCAAGACGTGGGCCACGCTCTCCACCAACGATTTAGTGTACAGGTAATCCAATCCCACCTCCCCAACCTGCCCCAACACCACCGCAGTCGAAAAACAGGTTAACAATGCCCCCAACGGCACCGATCCTGGGAAGAATACAAAGCCAACGACTACAGCTAGCCCTACACCAGTACACCACTGTCCCCATCCTCACTCCAAACCGGGAACCAGGACGCTTATTGTGGAAACGGTGTGCGAACGTCCGGGCTAGTCAACACGACCATCTCTGTCCTCTGTCATCTCTGAACCAGCGGATTCGAGGCGTTTGGGGGTTGATCCCGAACCGGACTTCGCCCAACTGGCTCGCCGATCCATGTCCGGACGCGCTGGTGGCGTATTGTGACACGACACAGACCCCGCTGTCGTGTGTCCCCCACCATCATAAGAGTGACCGGCATTGGTCTTCAGTGGCCCATGCTCTATGTCCTAGAGGGTACAGAAACCTGGAACTCATAGGGAGACCCGACATGTTCCGCTGGGACCTCGGGATTTGGATCGGCATAAGCGCAAGTGATAGATAATGTTACAGGTGGCAGATAGATCACGGGATCCTGAGCTCTCTTGTACCAGCTCGTGTACGAGATAGATTAGCCCGTTATAACAGAGTGTCTTATTTGCACATGCTTAGAAGATCGCCCTGCGCCAGTATGTGCGGAGAAAAGGCATTATTAATACTCGCACAGTCATCAACCACATGTGATTAATGTCAACTAGCTACGAAAAATCCAACACAACCTTGAAGGAAGAGCCGTCTTTGCGGTACAAGTTCAGCAGGAATTTAGCGTGTGCAAACGTGATGTCAAAGCTTGCCACTAAAGCAGGTTCCTTACCTCACACACAAAAGTATGTACGATCATTAGTAATTATTCGTTTCAACATTATCATCTCTTCGTGACAAGTCTTAGACGTTTGATGAGAGTCTCGGTGGGCCGGACCCCGAACGAGGAAATCAACGATCCCGCCAATCTCCCGTCTTACAATGGAAGGTGGAGGCTGAGTCCGTGTCCATTACCGGTGAGTCCGAAGATCCTCTCCGTCGATGTAAATTTCAAGGCGCTCGAGACATCGTGAGATACGCTGCCGGTATGAGACCAGACGACCTGTGTTGCTTGGTCTGCCTCCTCAACGATGAGCTTGAGAATATCATCCGGCATTTTTCACCAGCCTCTGCTATCAGGCTCCCCGGGTTCGAAGGCTGGCTCAATGGCTTGAGTTATGGCGACTGTGGAACTGGTGATGGCTCGTGGGGGGTTCCCTCGATTCGCAGGTTCTGAAGCTGTCGCGACGTCTGGATTGCAGATCTTGGAGTCCTTGTGTGTGTTGGGGTTTTCAGCTCAAGCCCTACGGTTTTGGGGCAGGTTTCCAGGAACGAGCGAAGTCTCCGGGGTGCGGCTCCTCGGAATTGGACAGATGCTGAAGCAACGTTGTGCGAGGACGAGTATTTATGAACAAGAGGTGAGTGGAAGTCAAGTGTGACAGCAAAAAATGTCCCGGGTTGACAAACGGCTGCCGGCTTCGCCTGCCTTTGGCCGTCGATTCCCCACCAGTTTCAAGTAGTTTGGCTGGGTTGTTGTACCCAGCTTAGAGACCACTCAAGAGAAGATATGCTGATTCCAAAGCAAGACGACCGAGAAGGGTGCTGCACCAACTCCTTTGGTTTTCAGGCTCTTAAACCTCATCCTAAAAATCTCGTGGAAGCCAACTTTGCTCCGATTCATGGGCCAAATATCTCTCGAATAGCCCAAGTGTGGCCGAGTTGAGAACAGCCCTTGCCATCACCATGAACTCCGCACTGACTTCATCGTGGTCCCTTGGCTATCAAGATAAGACATGTTCTTCGCACTCATGACGGATCTCTTTCCCACTGTCCAGAGTAGTACTAATCACTATGCTCAGTAGAAGAATCTTCATGATTGTCATCACTGTCATCATCATCCTCATCTTCATGAGTTCCATCATCAGCTTCACTCCTAACCCCTGTCTCATTTACTTTGCCTTCATCATCTTCCTCGTCGCTCTCATCGTCGAGAACGTCGAATTCTCCAACCAAATCCCATCTATCACCCTTCGCCATCCGGCTCACATACTTGACGAAGCGCATGGTTCCTTTGTCCCTCAAGACTATACCCAGACGATTCCAGCCCGCGGGCATACTGAAAAGGACGCCATCCTCGTCATCGTCGCCGCTGGCTTGGTAGATGGCTGGATCTTGCTTTGACTTCTTAGGGTTAGCGGCTCTTGTGGACCGAGCTCCAGTGCTCATGTCGAACGGAACTTCGACACCATGGTCGCTGCCCCCTTCGTCATGGTCAGGGTCGTCCTCATCTTCGCCGGCCATGTAGGCGAGGTAGCCGCCTACACTAGGCTCGTCCGCTGTGGTAGTGATTTCCTCAGCTTCATCTTTTTCCTTGACTGCGACTTCCTTATTATTATCTTTCTCTGACTCAGCATTCTCGTCATCTCCCCATCCGGAAGTAGGCGTAATGGACAGACAAAGCTCGATACGCGGGGCGTGTTCCTCATACCCAGTAGCAAGCGTGTAATCCCGTCCTCGCCGAAAACGCCGAACAAGTAAATTATGTGACATAACAGTCTGGCCTGTCGCAAGAGAAAGCCACTTCTGGAAAGCTTCAGAAGGCAAAAGATCTTCTAGCAAGTCAAGAAGCGGAGATTCTCGGCGCTCGCTTGAGCTAGCTTTTTGGAAAAGAAAATGATGCTTGTGTGGCGGCCTGGCAACAGCCCATGATGTCGTTTTCTCAATTTCGGTGGACTCGCTTGGTAGTGTCTGCGATTCCTGAGATTCAATGTAGTCCCGGACTGAGTCAGAGAACTTGTGGGATAGGAAGGTATCAAGACAAAGGGAAAACTCCTCAGCGAAAATCCCGGAGACTGATTCGAGGGTATCTGGCGTAAGGTACGTGGGAGCGATATACTTTAGGAGGAAATTGAGGTCCTCTTCCGAAAGAGCAGGGTCCTCCTGTGACGATGGGGTCGGTAGACCAATGTCGCCACTGCTCTCTGCAGACTTCTTGTAGAGCTCGAAATTCGATTTTGGAAGCTCATACTTGTCTCCTTTGCCTTGTAATTGCATGAGGCTGCTCTTGTCCGCCAGCCGTTCTTCTAAACCCTCGACGTAACCATCTTCACCTTCTTGTGGTATGTGGTACCATCCACTTATTGCCATTCTGGCCCTCCCACCGGCCTTCTCTTTATCTATCTCCTCATCCTCAGCGTAGACCTCCTGTACATCGTGAAAGCTTTCGCCTGGCTGCACGGCAAAGAAGCTCAATTGGTTGAATGCCGGCGGTATCGAGACACTATAATCCGGACTTGGGACCTTGGTGACCTCTCCATCGTCCTCAGTGTAGGTTTGTGTGGGATACAAGCGCAATGCGCCGCCCCACTCTTCCTTCCAAGGTGTATCTGGATCCGTCAGGTAGAGGATATAGCTAACTCTTCGACTTCCAATGACGTCGTCGTGACATAGTAAGTGACAGCCAGGTGTATAGACATTGATCGCCATGTCCGTCTTTTTTTCCAGAGAGCGGACCAGAGTCTGTAACGGTGGATAGGTACTCCCGGAAATCTGAGGAGTACATGGCATCGCGGAGTGTGAGTAGTGAAGGCAGAAGCTTGAGAGAGGAGTCATCCAGGCCATCAAGATTTGCCAAGTCCCCAGATTGGTGGATCTTGTAGATGTCCGTTTCTTTGGGAGTGAAGGAAAGGTTCTGGATTTCGGAGCGCACGCTGCGAAGGAGTGCGGGAGAGATGAGGCTTTGGATGACGCCGTGACGGTATCTGTGAGCTGTCAGCATTTAATTGGATGTCATCGATGCGTACTTTCAATGCTCACGGCTTAGAGGTGGCATAGCTCCTTCTATATTCGTCCAAGACAGATCCGCCAAACAGCCCTTCTCGAAAGCGATCTTGGTGGCTCGGTGCTCGCCGTTTGCCTTTTTCAGCGACCTCCAAATCGTCAACTTGATCTGATCTGCGCTTCATGGTGGGTTCAGTTTAAGTCCTGTGCTGCTCAGCAATCAATTGAGCATGATATGTCATATGAGGAGTTGTGGAGCGGGGTTAATTCGAATAGTGGGAGGATTTTTGAGCGCTGGGTAACGAGAGTGAATTCGGACATCGGAGAATATATGTATGTCATGATGCACAACCCGCCGAAGATGAAAGCTCAGTGGCAAGATTGATTTTAGTGTCTATCAATCTGCGCAAATATCAATGTGCTGTCTGCCGCTGCTGTGCTGGGTATCAGCTCTATCATTGAAACTCCCTTATTGGCAACAGCACGTCCGTTGCAACGGCACCCCAGACCACTATCTGCACCCGGTACGGACCCCAGAAACATCTAACTTTGCGTTGCTTGACTCTTATCAGCATTGCCGTCGTTTGAAGCCTTGACGATCCTTTATAACATGGGGAAACAGGCCGTGACGAGCGAAAAAACCTTGTCAATATATTGTATCGTTCAATACTCAGCCTCGCAGAGAAACCCACCAAGTCTGATTTTTCTCCGCGTTATGCAAAGCGTCAGGCGTATAAGTTTGAAGATGCACTTCCTTTCCCATAATCTCAACGAGTAAGAGCACTTCTCAGCGTCTTCAGCATCAAGCAAAACTTGGAGTTGGCGGTCAACGTCCTCCAGTACGACTTCAACCACTGATCGTCGGACTATGGCCGCGGGTACACCCTCCTTCTAACTGGAGCGGTTTGAGGAGCATTGGCAGCAATCGATATAGGGTGTGGTGATGGCCTGATTGCGGGTAGTGGGTATGTGAGGGGACATCATCAGCGCAGCCACCAAGTTATAGTCGTGGTTGATTGGAAAGGTATTGCCTGGTAAATACATTCATAGATTCGTCGAGAGCCTTGATATAGATACAAGTCGATCTTTCCTTGCATGGCTCCCTGTAGTTGTTCCCAATGCCATCCTCTATCTACAATTCAAGCGTGGGAGAAGCCTATGGCTTCGATTATCTTCATCAGCTGCGCTTAAATCCTTCTCTCTGCCGCATGGGCACCAACCTCAGAAATCAAACTCCCCCCTGAACTGCTCAATATCCATTCCCAACTCCACCTTCTCCATCAGATCTCTTCTTCCCATGCTCGTAAAAACCCTCTTCAGTGTCTCCAACAAATTCGTACTTTGATTCATACCCACCATCCTCTCCACATCGCTTTCGTCGATCGTACTACTTTCTGGATCCTCGCCTATGACCTCCTTGACACGTTGCATGCCCTCGCGCTCGACGACGCGGTGCATACTTAGTGCGCCAAGGAGGTGCTGTGCCGCTTGGGGGAGCACACCGATGTTGATGCAGGAAACGCCGAGGTTATAACGAGCGCGGACGAAATTGGGGTTTAGGGTTAGAGCTTTTTCGTATGCTGCGATTGCCTCTTCGCTGCGGCCGCTGTTTGCGAGTGTGGCGCCCAACCGATTCCAGAGAAGGTGCGCTTGGTGAGGTTCATTAGTTGTTCCAGACTCAGTGCTTGTAAGCGCCGATTCAAAGCAATCAACAGCTTTGCCGTACTCTTCTGCACCGTAAAAGAGCACGCCTAAACCCACTTGCACGTCTGGGTCCATATGTTCGCCATCTGGGGAGAGTTGGGCTGCGCGGATGAATTGGGTCGTCACCTTTTCATGGAGAACGTGGCGGTCTGTGAAACCGAAATCACCTGGCGGGGTAAGGTCATCGGGAGAAACGATCTGAGGATACTTTGTTGAAACCCAGCGTTCTAAAGTGCGGTAGGCGGTGGAGTCGTAACCCTCGTTTGTATATGATATAGCGAGACCCATTAAGGCTGAGAGGTTTTTGGGATCGAGCTTGATAGCTTGTTCGAGAGCGCGAATGGCTGGCGACTCTTTTTCGTTCTGGGCTTGTGCGCTGCCGAGTTGGCACCAGGCTTGTACGTGTTGCGGATCTCTCTGTACAGCGGCTTCGAAAGCGAGAGCGGCCAGGGAAAGATTACCACCCTCATTCATTACTTTGATGCCTTCTTCGAACGGGTCTTTAGTTGCGCTGAAAGGATTGTCTTCTTCAAAAGTATAATTGCCCATCTGAGGATCCCGGTAACCGTCATGAAAGTTGCTGTCAAAGTTGTCCCAAGTATCGTAGTCTCGTAACGGTAATTCCTCGCCCATGTGCATACCGTATTCGCCATTATCCATCATGGATCTAGCGTTGGCAGTCTCAGCTTGTATTCCTCGCCACACGCTCTCGAAGTCGCCAAACTCATTGGTCTCGGAAAGGACTGACCTGTCCATGTTATTGAGCTCCTGCTCTATCGCTGCGTTTGCTTCAGCGTCTAAATCGCGTTGAGTTTCTGCGTCCATTTCTGCGAACTGCTGTTCCCAATCTTTCTCATCAAGCTCCACCATTCGTCCTTTTCCTTTGCCAGTGGTCTGCTGTTCTGACGGTCTCCTCTGCAAGCCCATTGGCCTATACTGTGAGCCCATCATTCCAATATTCATTCCGTAGCCCATTCCCATCGATCTATTGTAGCCATTCATCCCTAGATCTGTGTACGAGGTTGGACTCCCAACCCTAGCTGATCCATTCCTCTCAATCTGCTGGAATCGCTGAAACTCAGCTGGTGTAAAGCCAGCAGGGACAAAGCCTCCAGATTTTGGCGCTTGGAACGCAGCCTCCAAGCGCGCTTGCTCTCCGCGATCGAATTCCGATGCCCAGCCAGGTGAGTGTATTCGGGGGGGTGGTTGTTCGATAGCCATCCAAGTCTCTTCGCATCTGCTCCATTGCGAAGGGTTGGGGTACATCTTGGTGGAGCTGACCATTATGCTGTAAGAAATCTTGCATCATCTGTAGCTACGCATTAGCCATGATCTAGCTCCTGGGAGGGCCCACGGTGCAAGAACTTAGGTTTGCCGCAACCAGGCAACTCACCTTATCTTCGCTTGGCCCATTCACTTGACTCCTGAAGCTTTCTTGCAGACCTGCGGGCCCTCGCCCCATAAGCCTGTCCCGGTGTAACGACTTGTCATCCTGTACGTGTTTTGTGAATTGGCTCAGTGGGTTCCCTGCGGTCGAGCATTCGGCGCCGCCGAGGAAAGACATCATGTGTAGAAGGTGGCAGGTTTGGCTTGTTACGATGCAAAGGAAAGAGCAATCAAGAAACTGGCAACGCAAAACTGATAAAAGGTATTATTAAATCTGTTTTTCCAAGCTTGAGTGAAAGCCGAGGTAGTCTCAGAAAGGCCCCACGCAGTGGGTCTGAGCAGGAAACCCTGCCAAGACTTATTTTTTTGGTGTATTGCCCGATATGTAATATTCACACCCTGCGTATATATGATCCTTAATAAAAATACGTAACTACGTGATATAGCCTTTTTTGAAATTCTTGAAAAAAGTTGAATAAATAGTTAAATAGGCTCTCGTTAAATTAGAAGCTGTAGTATAGTAGTTAAGAAGTAGGCTTTTAATTCTATTTTATTAAAAAACTTAGCTAATTTAGCTATAGCAGCGGTATTAGTATTTAAAAACGCTATACGTCTTAATAGACGCGTAGTACTATATAGGAATTCTCTTATAGTATATTAAAACCGGGGTAATCGCTATAATACTCGCCGGATCGATAGCGCGGTGTATTGGGGAAAATGCGTGGTCTTATTAGTTAGTTTATTACTTCGATTAAACGTCGTAGTCTTCCCCCATTTTTTATAGTCTCCCCCTATTTTTTGGATGGCTAGGCTTATAAGAGTCGCTAAGTAAGTAAGTAAGTAAGTAAGTAAGTAAGTAAGTAAGTAAGTAAGTAAGTAAGTAAGTAAGTAAGTAAGCAAGTAAATAGAGTATCGCCGCGGCGGTGCATGTAAATAAATAAGTAATCGAACTTGCGGAGAGCGAAGCGGAGATAATTTATTCTTTTGGTATAAAGTTAGATATTAGTGGCGACGATATCGATGAATAAGAATATCTCGTACGGCGTCGAAGTCTCTTATGGGTATATGAAATATAGAAAAAGACGTCTTTAAATATAGGAAGGTCTATATCGTCGTTATAAACGACTTAATTAAATATCGTTTAATTATTTTAACGCTATAATTCTAAGAAAATAGTGGGGGATATTAGGCTCTAGGTCTATTAGTAGTTAATGTATTTCTTATTAAAGGAGATTGAAAGTTAAGTAATATTCTTTTTCACTTTAAGAATTTTTGATAGAACCTTCTTATGTAAGGTTATATAAAAAAAAATTGGGGTAATAATAAAGCTTTATAATTGCACTCTCTATATATAATATATTAGATAGCTAAACTATACTAGAAATATATTATTAAATAGTTTATTAATAGATCTTTACGCGTAAGATTTATTTAGAAAAGTAATATAATAAGATAGAGTATAATAGATCTATTATATATAATGACTTTAATTTAAATGATATTAAATAAGAAGAGGAAGGAGGTTATAATTGGTTAGAAGATTAATAAGGTGAGGAGGTAAATTAATAAAGAATGATTAGTTTAAATATAAAAGAGATTTTATTAAGAAGAGGTTTTAGTGAGGTCTTAACGAGATCTTAACGAGGTTTTAATAAGAATCTTTAGGCTTCACTAAGTAGATCTCATCTTCAATTATTTTCTATATTATTAATTAATATCTAATCTATCTACTACCGCTATAAAGTCTATCTTATCTATTTACGAATATACGCTAAAACTTTCTACCCCCCTTACGCCGACATAGTATTTAGACGATAAGTGGGGGAGTAATATCTCGCTAGAGGCGATTATTACGATTAAGAAGAGGAAGTTAAAGAAAATAAGAGCTAGAAAGATTAAGAATATTATAAATATACTATTAAAGAAAGAGCTAAGTATCTACGACTTATTAAGAAATATATAAGAACGCGAATAAAGGACTTCTATAGCTGGCCGTTCTCTATAATATAATCTTCTTATAAAACTTTATATTAAAGATAATTCTTTACTCGATATTCTACTAAAGAATAATTCGGCTAGTAAGCCTATTAAGCGT